CCACGCCATCTGCCCCTGCGCATGCGCAGTACGACGCAAGGGCGGGCGCAAAGGAAACGCCAGGTACCGCTAGCCTCCCACTTTCAAAGTACAGAAATGACATAAGTCACCTTGATTACTGATATTTCTAACGTATGCAGTTCTTAACGTGTGTTACATACATTGAAGCTTCGCTGATCTTGGTTAGTAATTTTGTTGTACTTCTGACTAAAACCTCTTAAATTATTCTTTGTTTTAAAAGTGAATATTTACGGGTAATTAACAAGTAAGCTTTTATTGACTTGCCAGTTTGCCGTGTATTCAGTCGTTTGCTAAGTTAATATTTTAATTTGTTTCCAAGTTTATTTTTGCTTTATTGTTAAAATACTTTAAATGTATACAGTTAAAAGAAAGACAAAGAACACGTTTCCATCTCTTTATTGTGTCTTAAGATGAATAATTAAAAGTTAGTTGCATAACATCAACATAATTTCGCCAAGCAAAACCTTATCATTCATTGGCTGCTAAACAGTTCGACGCAAACCGATTAACGATAGCGTCTACATCTAACTTCAAAAACCTGTATGTTAGGATTGTGAAACTATGCTTATAAACGCTAAAGCATAAGGCACATGGTACCAGCTACAGAAAGCTGGCACATAGTGTGTGATGTAGTCAATAATAAAGGCCGCCTTTACTTTTAACAAAATTTTTTTGCTACCCAATTTAGCTGTCCCAAATGTAGACGTTCGCCTGCAGATCCGATGGTCTTAGGTTCAATTCCAGACGGTGCTGGACCCCCCTCACCCCCCCCCCCAAAAAAAAAACCAACATTGGCTCATAGGTCGACCCAACCTTAAATGGGTAGCAGGTAAACATTATGGGAAATAAAAGCGGCCGGCGTGATGGTGACGACCATATCACCCGCCAAGGACCGACTGGTCTATAAGATATAAGTCTAGCCTTTTATGCTTCGGGGCGTCAAAAGGGTCCTCTACTAATATCATCATTATAATAATGATCATCATCACCATCATCATCAATCAGTATACCCTTTACAGAAAACCGCTGTCGTCAGAATGTACCTCTTTCTCTAGCCAGTTCCCCAACCGCGTGTGCTTTCACAGACAATGTATCATCTATGTCCTATATCTACATTCGCGGAGGTCCGCCTCTACCTCTCTTTCCGGGAGGTGCGCCCTCCGTCACCGTTCTCGCCGGACCACCACTGCGCTGAAAATATCCAAAATACCTTCTGCTTTAGGGAGGGGTTACTGCTTTGCTTTACTGTACACATACACACACACAAACACGCACACACACGCACGCACACACAGACCCACGCACACACACGCATGCACGTGGGCGCGCGCACACACACACACATATATATAAAATCCTGCGTTAATGGGAATTTGAACTCTTGCCTACTGCGGCGATGGACAAACGATGTGGTACTGAGTTCACCTAATTTATCCAAATAAAAATTATGAAAAGCTACTATCAGGAAGTCAGGTGGCTTAGCGGCTGAACTCTAACCTCCTGGCCTGAAAGTCTTGGATTCGAATCAGGGCCGGATTAGACTTGATGAGGCACAAAGCTTTATGAAGTCCTGAGGCCCCCACTGTTTCAAATGACACCAGCTAACCTTAGAAGACTTGAGAATGTATACACCCTTTAAGTAATGTAGATATATTGTCGTTTAATTTTTGTTCAAAGAAACAATAAAGAATATGTTTGCAAAATTACATTTAAAACTCTCTTAAAGGCTCTTAAAAAAGCATTTGTGAAAAAAAAAAATTGTATTCCTGAGGCCCCTGCAGACTGTTAGGCCTTAAGAAAATCAAAATCACAGAAAATTATATTATTTAATCCTCTTAAAAATGAAATTAAAAAGACGGGGAGATTCGCATGCGATAGCCAAAAAAATGGAACCACTTGGCGTGAGTTTATTGAGGGCCTATGCTCCACTGAGGGCCAGAAAGGAAGAATCCTCTTAAAGGCTCTAGAAAAAAAAATTTGTGAAGAAAAAAAAATGTATTTCTGATGCCCCTGCAGGCTGAGGCGTTAAACTGCAGCTAAGATATCCCATGTCTAAACTGATTACGGGTTCGAATCCACACCAAGACGGGGTTTCCCCTATTTAAAATTAAACCTTGCTACCAGGTCGACACGGCCTAATATGGTTGCCAGATTTCATCGCGGAAAGTAAAGGTGGCCAGTGTGATATTGGTCTTTTCAGCTGGAGTTTACAGCCGGTGATTATGAAGAAGAAGAAGAATACATCCAAGAATATATAAAGGACCCTTTTCCACGCCTTTACGTGTGGGGCATATAGGGCTAGACCTATATTTTATAGACCAATCAGCACATGGTCGGTAATATGGACATTATCACACCTGTCACCTTTCACTTCCCAATCAAGGCTGGGTCAACCTGGAAGCCAAGGTCATTTCTAAAAAAAACAAAGTCCGGCTCCGACAGGACCCGATCCCACGACCTTCCGATCCGCAGGCGAGCACATTCATGAATTTATATATATATGTTAGTATACGCCAGCTTTGTGGCTAAGTCGATGCTAACGCTTCGTAATGCCGGGGTGCCGGGTTCGATCCCAGCTGCGGTTTATGCGCCTTGCGTTGGTTTCGACAGTGGTATCGAGAAAGCAATGGCAAACTACTGGACGTAAATTTGCCTAGAGAAACCACACAACAGCCAGGTGCTGCTGGTGTTGGTTCTGTAACGTCCTGTAGCTAACCTTTTTTTTATTATACATGTAATATATATATATATATATATATATATATATATATATATATATATATATATATATATAAACAAATTTTGACTGTTTTTGTTTTACCAACAGGCTGTTCTAAAGCAGGGGTAGGCAATCGACCCACGCAGGCTGACGTCTCTGAGATTTAGAAGTATTTTCGCAGTTCCTAGAGACTTCGCCTCCAAAGTGCGCCCAGACCATACAGCCCGGTCAGATCCTCAGCAACCATGTCCGGCTTAGACGTCAATGACCCGGACTTCCTCTACCTCGTGGTGGACAGGAAGAAGCTCATGAAGGAGCAAACCCAGACCTTCGACGGCAAGAAGGCTTGCTGGATTCCCGACGACAAGGAGGGGTACCTGGCGGCTGAGATTATTAGCACCAAAGGAGAGGAGATCACTGTCAAGCTTGCCACCTCGGCAGAGGTGAGAGGTCATATTTGTTTCCTCACCCCCACCCCCCCCCTCTCCCCTACCTCCACGTTTTACATGTTTTCCAGTCATATAAAAAATATTTATGAGCAAACATTAAATGTTGAATATTGAGTTAAGAATGGACATCACAGCACGCAGGACACTCCCATAAGTGCCCTGTCCCCGTCTTCAGCAGCAAACGAATAGTTCAAATTCTGATGCTACCAGTAACTGTCTGATTATACATCCATCTCGTCTTTCCCTTCAGTGCTGAGAATCGGCTAGATCCCTATAACTCCCCGCAGCGTCATTCTCCTCTGTTTGTGCCTCCCCACTGTTCACTCGCTTCCAAAGGGCCATCGGCTGGTCTATCTGCCTGCTCGTTTCCCAGTACACGAGTATTTGGAATTATAACCTTCCGTCCTTTTCAGGATGAAATTTTTCGTTATTTGAAGCCCTACTCTGGCTCTTGCCAGGAGCCGCAATATAGCCTGGCTATAAATATGGCTTAAAGGCTGAACACGGTTTCTGGGACCCCTCCATGGTGATTCACACCTACATGTTGGCACATTGTGTCATCGGGTGTTTATCGCTTGTGTGATGTCCTGGTGGGGTAGAAAATCAGTCACTCAGTCAGTACATGAGCGTGATGACCTGGAGACAACAATTACAGACCATTAATAACATTATTATCTTTCTGTGTAGTCTATCTATGCATGTATCATCTTCATATCGATCACAACATAAGTGGCGTTCACGCGTTATCTCCCTTGCTGCTTGTCTGTCCCTAGCGATGCTATTTCATTTCTCTTTCTTGTGTCCTTCTACATGTTTCCTTAGATCATCTACATCTCCTACCCCCTTTCCAGTCCACCTAAGTGCAGTCCTTGCCAAAGTGCCGCGAGCATGCCCAAACAAACTACATTTTCTTCCTATGGTAACGTTTGCCAGTAACAATCATTGTGTTTATCCTCCCCAGTTTTTCATTTGATTTTCTTTGGTAAAACATTTCAGGCCCCGAAGAAGGCTGGGATTTTTTTCATGTACAATTTCCCCTGGTCTATGGGTAGTGAGATCGGACGCCCGTGTGTACTGTTGCGCACGTAACAACATCCTTCAGCAGCTGGAAATCGAAAAGAGTAGCCTGACAGCGCTGCCCGTGCAAAATTTGGAGTTAGAAATCTACCAAAAATATTTCAGCATCTTCGCCAGTGCTACGGAGCCCGTGCACTGCGCGGAGCAACTTCTGACTCAGACTTGAGTTAGAAGTAGAACGGAGCACTCATGGGTTACTACCCTAGTGCCTTGATGTTGATCCGTTGCTCAAACTTTAAACTTCAAAATTCGTAACAAGTACTACTCCTCCCACTACTCCTCATCCTCCTTCTACTACTCAACCTCTTCCGACGACTACTAATTCTACTACTACTCCTCCTACTACTACTCTTACTAGTCCTACTACTAATACTACTCCTACGTCTCCTTCTATTTCTACTACTACTACTACTACTACTACTACTACTACTACTACTACTACTACTACTACTACTACTACTACTACTACTACTACTACTACTGCTAATACTACTACTACTACTACTACTACTACTACTACTACTACTACTACTACTACTACTACTACTACTACTACTACTACTACTACTACTACTACTACTACTACTACTACTACTACTACTACTACTACTACTACTACTACTACTACTACTACTACTACTACTACTACTACTACTACTACTACTACTGTTGCAGCTGCTGCTACTAAAACACTGCCCCTGACCCAGTGATCACATACTTCACTATTTCCACAGACAAGGACAGTAAAGAAGGATGACGTCCAACAGATGAATCCACCCAAGTATGAGAAGATCGACGACATGGCCAACATGACCTACCTGAACGAGGCCTCAGTCCTGCACAACTTGAAGAGCCGTTACTCTGCCGGCCTCATCTATGTAAGTTCCACAACCCCAGCTGAGTTAACTCCCAAACATTTGCAAGTTTCCGTAACAAATGTCATGGACAGAAATAGTCACTCTTCCAGCTCGAGCAATTTCGTGGAACTCGTCACCAGGGGACAAAAATAGCTTTCTCAGCTATAGCAAGTTATGTAGAAAATGTCTCAGATGGGAATAACAGCTTTTTCGGCTATAGCAAGTAATGTAGAAAATATCTCAAATGGAAATAACAACCTTTACAGCTGTAGCAGGTTATGTTAGTAGATGTCAAGGAAATTACAAGTAACAAACTAGGATACATCGAGTTCAATCCTTTCAAAGAGGCTTAAAAACACACAGTTGAAATGCCTGTTCAGTAGGCCAGGTTTCTTTGATGATTGGACCAAAATTAAAATGTCAAGATACATTTTTCATGTTGTAAAAAAAAAAAAAAAAAAGTAAAGAAATGGTCGGAAAAAACCGCCATTATGTTCAATAAAAATTATCACAGTTGAACAAAAAATTATTGTTTAAAAAAACCAAAACTTTCTAATGGGAGAAATGATAACAAATTTCAGCTTTCTCTCTTGATTGTAAACTACTGGACGTAAATTTGTCTAGAAAAACCACACAACAGCCAGGGGCTGTTGGGGTTGGTTCTGCAACGTCCTGTAAAGGATACTCAACTAACCTTTAACCTCTTGATTGTATTTCATCACCGCATGATGTTCCAGTATAACTGTTACTTGGATTTGGTCCTGATGAAAATGATGATGGAGATAACAACAATGATGATGATGAGTGTGTTGGTAGTGGTGGCGGCCGAGATATTAGTGATGACGATCATCATCAAGATAACAGAAATGATAATGGCGATGATGATGATGGGAATAATAATAATATTAATGTTCGCGGTGGGGATAACAATGGTAATGATGGAGATAACTATAATGATATTGGTAATGATGATAATGATATTGGAGATAAGAATGATGATGAGGATCAAGAAGAGTGTGATGTTGATGATGGCAGTGATGATGACTATGATAATGACGCCGACGATGTACAAAATTGCGGTCATTACGACTGTTATGATGATGATGATAAAGAAAGTAATTTTTGTTCCCCCGGCCACAGACCTACTCTGGCTTGTTCTGTGTGGCTGTGAACCCCTACCGACGCCTGCCCATCTACACCCAGAAGATCATCAACGCCTACAGGGGCAGGCGAAAGGCTGAGATGCCTCCTCATCTCTTCTCCGTCTCCGACAACGCCTACCAGAACATGTTGCAGGGTGAGTAGACATCCTAGCATATCATAGACAAACCACATGTGAGAGTGCATAGTTTGACTTTTGCTGTTCACAGTATTTATTTACGGTAGTCACACACGTGTTAGATATTCAGCTAGATATATAGATGTGTGACTTCTCTCTGAGACACTTCAGTTAAGGGATGTTATGTATTCTTGTTTGTAGTTTTAGTATTATATATTCATGTTAGTTTATCGACATATTATCCTCATTGCACATCGGACAAGTCCGTAGCGATCAAAACCCATCTTCAGTGTATCCCCCAGCGTGTGATGATAGCGGTTTGTGTTGGTTTACTAATCTTCTTTGTCTGCCTGATTGCGACACCTCTTTTTACCTGGTTCTTGTAGTCTTTTGTATGTCGCCGACTCATCGTCTTACATACATGTACATGTCCAGCGCCGATGAAAACTTTCTAGCTGCAACGTTTTTTGTCGTTTTTGTTTATGACAATATAAAGCTCTCTTGTTCTTCTTGGCGTTTGGTTTGATGTCCTTTCATGTTATATCTGTTGTTGGTACCTTTCCGTCTTTCCAGACAATAGTGTTATAGTGTGCTGCGAGGAGGCATGGGACTCACAGCCCATGGTCAATGTGACTTTATATCCTCGTCATCTTCTTCCTATCTGTGATTCACTATTGAGCAATGGCTTTAAACCTTCCTAATGCCAGGACTCTTTAATATAGTTCCCTCATGTTGTGGCGTCCCCAGACAATTATTTTGCTTCATTACTTCAATGAATTTGTGTTTTCCGATGGTCTTAGGCGACCTCTGTGTACAGGTGGTTAGAAGCAAAAAAAAAAAAAAGGAGTCGCGACTGGCAGGTTGAGAACCTCTGCCACAGAGGATGTCCTTAGGGACTATACCGAACTGTATAACTGTCCACATGTTGCAGAACTAACAAACCACAGCTTTTCCTTTGTAGAGGGGTGGCGGGGGGGGGGGGGGGGGGCTGTTTTTTACCTTCAAGAGTTTGCTATCAATAACTAAACGGTCAGCTGTCAGTACCACTGTTGAAGCCAACGCCTGGCGGTCTGCTTTCAAATCGCCGGCAGCTGGAATCAGGTTATGTCCGGCAATCCCGTTAGTGTCAGAGATATATCATTATCCACTAGCCCAGTCTGTACAATGTTTATGTGATCCGCTCTGTCCATGCCTCTTCCCACATGGGTTGCTGCATTGCCTGCCAGTTGGTCCACTCGCTTGTTACCTTATGCGCCATCACGACCAGGTGTGTAGATATATTAAGTGCGATTGTTGAATGCTTAGATCTTGTTACGTGTCTGTACCCTTGCCTGTTCTGTCTCTTCACTGTTGCTACTGAAGATGTTTGCTGTACTTTTGCTGATTTGTAATTTTGCCCCCTTTGGTCTGTCCACAGATCGTGAGAACCAGTCCATGTTGATCACGTGAGTAGTAATAATTAAGATAGTTAAACCAATTAGAGCATATATTTAAAAACTAGTTCGCCAATAAGGCGACACAACTATCCCTTGGAACAGAGTAAAGGGAATAGAACGTTTAATCATACATGTCCAAAAACCCAGAATAATGCCTGTATGAAAACGGTCCGTATCCAAATAATGCAGAAACTTGAAATATCACAAACTGTAGAAATCTAGGCTCCGTAAAACACGATTGCGTGAAAGAAAGAGAAAGAAATAGAAGATATCCCTGAATTGCTATAAACAGATTATCACCATGGCCCATGAAGACATCCTAAAAGATCTGAACATCGAGGAAGATTGGCTAGTAAACAGCACCGTGTCTTGGAAAGTGAAACATCATGGCCATATCAAACGCTACAGTGAATTTGAAAGTTTGGTAGCAGAAAGCATGGTGACATGAAAGAGGGGCAGGGACCGACCAGAACGAAGGTGGGCACAGGATATAAGTGACAGATTGGGTAGGAAAGTGTACGAGAAAGGAGAGCTGGTGAGAGACAAGGGTTCTTTCAGGCAGACCGGGATGAGAGCGACTTTCTGCAACATAAGGATGATGATAATGACGAGTGATGATACACGATGAACTAAGTGGGCGACCCAGAAAGAGACGGCAGGATATTGTTGGTTGACACACATTGGCCGCTACAACCACCTGTGAAATGTATACTAACATTTGTTTACCTCGAGACGACAAGCGTGGTTTCCCTTAAACAAAACAAAAACATCAGCGCTGGACAAAACAAGTAGCTTCAACTGGACCGCTGACCGGGTCTCATGCGTGGCTCAGTGGATTCGTCGTTTGTCGGTTTACAATTCCCCGTGTCTCTCTTTCCCCGCGATCGAAACCTGGGCTGGTCAATATGTTTGTTTCTGTAACGTGGCATTTCGATTAAATAATAATAATAATATAATTAATAAATATTTCGAAAAGTCAGTGATAAATAAGCTATAGACTCTGGTAGTTGTCCGGCAGGCGGGGGGACCACACCAGCCTCTCTCCCAGAGGGTGGCAGAGTGTTTTCCTTTGATGTCACCCTCTGGGAGATGCTGGAAACGGGGCACAAGTGAGGCTTTTGCTGTTTTTTTTTGCTTCCAAATTATTATTATTTTTTTTTCAATTTCTTAAGTCTTCTTAAGTTGTTATCGCTACCATAATTTTAGATATTTATTAATGATTAAAACAAAACACTTTTAAATTTACGAGAATTGTGTTTCTATTTATTTTTTCTAAAAATTAACTCAGCACTGTTCACCCAGTGAAAATCGAGTCACATGCCCCAGGTAGCTGTGATCAGTAAACGCCGAGACACTCCTTTGCGGATCGGAAGGACGTTGGTTCGAGTCCAAAATGACGTTGACTTCAAGTCGGAAAATGGTTCTTGTGTTTGGCTAACAGTCGCTTAGACTTGGCTTAGACTTAACTAAACCGTGACAAACCAGTGACGCTAACTCGATTGCGTGACCTGTGTCGTGAAACACGTCTGTCTGTGTCGTCTTAAGGCTAAGACAGGGGACGCTAAATCAAGATTCTTAGGGACAGTAGAAGTGCATTGGAGTGGCTGCTGCATCGGAGGATTGAACACGCATAGGAATGCCCAGTGACGTTGATTATGACAACAAAATATAATGCAAATTAGGTGACAAAAGAAGAGAAAAAGTGGCTGACGGCTCGTTGACCTCTCCTATATGCCTCTGTTAGCCAGTGGTTGACGGTTGATCTCTCCTATTCCCCAGTGGCGAGTCTGGAGCCGGAAAGACAGAAAACACGAAGAAAGTAATCATGTACTTCGCCAACGTTGCTGCAGGAAAGAAGGAGAAAGACGAGGATGCCGAGGCCAAGAAGGTGGGATTATATGCCTTTTGGCTTGTCGCATTTTATTTTTAGTACATAACAGATACACATTTATAGTTAAATATCATTTATATACCATTTATAGTTATATATCATTGATAGTTATGTACCATTTATAGATATATATCATTTATAGGTATGTTTCCTTTATAGCTAGATATCATTGATAGTTATGTACCATTTTTAGTTATGTATAATTTATAGTTAAAAATCCATTTGTAGTTATATATCATTTATAGTTATATGTCAGTTACGGTTATAGACCTAAATCACTTAAACGCACACACACATAAACTGGTTTTGGACAAACATTATAGTTATATATTATTTATAGACATGTATCATTTATATGTATATACATCACTTATAGACATACATTTTAGTGATACATTTTTTTAGACATATTTCATGTATACGTGTATATTATTTATAGATATATATCCTTTATAGACACGTTGGAATTGTATGTTATTTATAAACACACATCATGTATAGGCATATATCATTAATTATACAAATATTTGTATACATATCTATCGTTTATAGACATACATTATAGTTATCTATCGTTTATATTCTGTGACAAACATATTTTTAAGTCTGTCTAGATATTATCTCGCCATTGCCTTTTCTGCCTCGTGGTGTAGGACAATTTACTTCCCTAATGTACAGTTTTTACAAAGACAGCAAGTGAAATGGTTTGCCCACTTAGAGAGAATGCCTTGTGACACCATACCATACAAAGCATACACGGAAAGAGAAGAAGGTCGTAGAGCAAGAGGTAGACCAAGAACAAGATGGAAGGATAACATCAGAGCTCTACAACAGCACGATGTGCCTATGGACGAGGCGGCCAGAAGAGCCAGAAACAGAACCTTATATCTCCCTCGACACCCACAGCGGTAAAAGAGGAAGTGAAGAAGAAGAAGAAGATGAATGTTCAGTTTTTAACTCTCTGTCATCTGACATTCTCTGACATTCTCTCAATATAACCTATCCGTTTCAGTTCATTAGCCAGCCCTATTGATTCCGGTAATCGATGGTGATTTAAAGAGATAATGAATTTCGTTGTTGCTTCTTAATTTTGTTGTTGTTTTCTTAATTTCCCACTCTTTTAATCTCAGTTGGGTCCAACAATTCTTCATAAGACTGTTAAAAAAAATGCAATCAGACTTTAACTCTTAAGAGCCATATAATAGTACTGGTCTTATGAGTTGTTTTATATATTATCGGATCTTGGTGCTAGGAGACAGAGACTTTGTAACACACGTTAAAGGGCATAGTATACTTTATTTCCAGCCTGTATTGTATATTGCATTTATTCTCTTAGTGTGTAAGAGCAGTTACAGTTTTAGCAAAGCTGAAACAATGCAGGGCTTTCAATATATTTACGCAGTATATCTGACAACGCGACCAGGACGCTGTTTTCTATATCTGATTTACACCACAGCACTATCATTTATTACAATAACACCTCGGTTGACGAACTGACTGCACCTATTGATTCTTTCTTAAAATTTTTCGGAAACCAAAGGTTATGCTGGGAAACAGAGGGACCTCCCTTCCCACCCCCTTTATTTCCCGGCTCTCCCACTCCACAATAAGAAAAAAAAAAAAAAAAAAAAGAAAGAAAGAAAAAAACAATTCTAATATCAAGGTTTCACTCGGAACCCGGGCAGCACCCCCCACCACCTTTCTTCCGATAAATTGTTTGTTCGGAAACAAAAATTGTGTTAGGAAACTTTCCCGCTTAAAAAATCTGTTCACAAACATAACTATTCCAGAAGAGAGATATCCAAGAACCGAGGTTTTACTGTAAATTATTCAAGGATGTCACAACACTGATCTGTATGTTGTGTGTGTGATATGACTACAGACATAAAACACATCTACCAAGAAATGATTTTTAAGTTCCTTTTTATGAGAGTTTTACACTAATCCTCGTTTTAACATCTCTTTTTAAAATTATAATTATTACTACAAAACAGTGTTCATATAATACCATTGCTTTATTCGTATATTAACATTGTTTGACAATATGTAATACTGATTGTTTTTCCTTTCTGTCTCTTTCTCTGTGTTTCTCGTGGTGCCCTAATATATTTGTCGTTGTAATGTCTTGTCTTTCTTTTGGATACACATTAAATTCTACCTACTTTAACGCCTCCGTTCCAATATTTTATTTCCTACTTTGGAAAAATATAAACTTTAAAAAAAAAAAAAAAATGCACTAAATACATACAAATGCTTTCATAAAAAAAAAAAAAAAAAACATTAAATTACAATTCACATTTTATTTCTTCAAATTTTATAAAAAATGTACACTTTTTTATTTACGAACACAAATAACTAACTTATACATATCTATGCATATGCAAACTGAAATTATCCAATTGTTGCAAAATGGTTTTAAATTACCATATTATACTTGAAAACTTAATTACTTCTGACACGACACGCTTCTTTCCCCCAATTTATGTCACCCTCCATACTGTTACGTCTGTCACCCTCATGTCGAAAACTCCCCCCTTCGTGAAAGCAGAAATCAGGTTCACTGGAGGATCAGATCGTTCAGGCTAACCCTGTTCTTGAGGCCTATGGTAATGCCAAGACCACACGTAACAACAATTCATCTAGATTCGTAAGTAGCTCCGCCTGTGGACCAATCAGAATTTTCCGACCCCCTGATTGGTTAATACAAATTTCCCTGTAACCCCACCCATTTTTTTTTTTGTCTTACCCAGTCACACATTTTAGATCCATCCGACATTCCGACCTCCTAATTGGATTACCGTATTTACCTCACACACCAGCTCCTCTTGCTTACCCTGATTAATTACAAGTTTACCCCAATCCGATTATCCCTATCTCATGATTAGATGTTGCACGTACCTCACAATCCTGTCCAATATGTCAAATCCAACCCATACATTTTACCCTCGACAAATCACCCTTGCCTACTTTACAACCCAGCCCTCTTTTGTTTTTGTCTTGACCAATTATAATGTCAAACCACAAAATAATTAATTTATTAAAAGTAACCACTTAGAATAGGTACGCCCCATTTCCTTATAAGGCATTTTCAAACATAAATCATAAATATATAATATATAATCCGAAACAGCAATCCCGTGTTTCTTCCCGTCCATACTAACTCAGCTTATCCTCAAACCTTAATTCTAATCTTAAATAACCCGCGTTACATAGGAAAAGAGAAACTCACACTTAAAGGGGTTTATCAGAAAGAATGCGTATGCTAGGTTTATCTTAAGGTAGGTAAGTTGTACCCCACCAGGACATCACACAAGCGATTAACACCCGGTGACACAAAGTGCCACCTTGGGGATGTGGATCACCTGTGGAGAGGTCCCAGAAACCTAGCCGTTAGGCCATATTTAAGGCACGGCTATATTTAGGGCCCCCAGCAAAAGGCAGGGTGGGGCTTCAAAATAACAAAAACTTGCATTTCACATGGGGGACGACAATGATGCAGGTTTGTTTGTGAACTCTTTCTAAAATTATGCTTACAATCCACTCAGATCAATGTAGTTAGGAAAAAAAAACCACCAACTAATATTACGCCCGTAACACTTACTTGGCACCGCCTCTCAAACTTCCTGTCCATGTTTACCACCTATATGAATGCTTACAGCTCAGTCCACATTAAAAAAATCTCTCCAATTACTTTATTTTATGCACTTTGGTTGACCCTCATAATGTTTAATTTCGCTTACTTCCCTTTTTTATAATTTCCCTCCTCTTCCTATTTCCAGTAATTGTTATTTCCCTTTATCATGATAATCTCCCCTAACGAATTAAATTTTTAAAAATGTGTTCCCCTTGCTATGATATTCTTCCCTTTTCTCATTTTCCCCTTTCATACCAAACATTTCCCTTCGTTTATGTCTATACTAACTGATAATCCGTCTCACGATTTCGCTCGATTGTACCCCTTTTACCAAGCCTGTGTTTATTTATTTCCCCTTGAACCCCTCACCCACTGATCATGAAACAGATTGGCTCCCTTGAGGATCAGATTATCCAAGCCAACCCGGTACTGGAGGCCTACGGTAACGCCAAAACCACACGTAATAACAACTCGTCTCGATTTGTGAGTACCTCATTTACCGATTGCTTCATATAACAGTCTACACCTACAAGAAGGAATTCGTGTGTTTTTGCAGTATTGTCCTGACTTCTTTATTGAAACATTTTTAATTTGTTTTCTTCCAAGACGAGAAAATTTTCCTTACTAATTCAACCCAGTTCCCACCCTTTTCCTCATGTTGTTACTATGTCTTCCCAATGCCATCAAAGTTAAATTAGCCAGGCTTGTGGCAAATCTTCATCTGGCCTAAATGTTTGACGTCAAAAAAAGGGGGTTGGTAAGGGGGAAAGTATTTTTTCCCCACATTGTTGAAATCAAGGAGTGGATATGCATCTTAACAGCGACTCCTTGTTGAGTGAACAAGTGTTTATCTTTCGGGCTCCAATCATACAAAAATGAGTTGTGGGTGGGGCGGGTAGAAAAAAAATTATACACGTGCTAAAATATATATATATTTTTTTTTGGTGTCTTGATTTTCAAACTGAAAATAAGATCCCAGCTGCTCACGTTAGGAAAAGTGTTTTAAAGTGTCATGGTTTGCCTAAATGAAACATGATGTTAACATTATAATGAGGATTGATGTCTCTTTCCTGGTTTTCCTGTGACTCATTATAGATTATCCATAATGAAACCATGACAGAAGCATCAATGATCACTATTAGGTTTAAAAAAAAAATTTGTATTTAGGGAAACCGTGACCTGTTGTTGGTGATCTGTGATTTTTGTTTTTATCAGTTAGTTTTGTTCTCCAATGAAAATTTCCCTAGCATCGATTATTGGGTTAACTGGGTAGTGTGTTAATTAAATAGTTTACTAGCGCTGCCCCCATCAGTCAGTTGAGACGTGACAAGAAATGGATGCTCGTCTGGGATATGAGTTCGGTCTTAACATTAACACGGAATTATAGCTTTTATTTATTTTAAACGTTTACACACAAAAGTAACTGCATGGGCATTTCTTCTGCTATGTAAAAAAAAATAAATTATAATTAATCACTAGTTGTTTTCTTATGGTCTACCATTAGAAATTACCAGGTCTTACCGTAAAGATTTTCTCTAATTCTATAGACCTCAGCATTGATTCAGTAGGTCAGTTTGTATGTCTTGGTTATCAAAAGTTTTCTAAAAACTAACTCGCTGAATGATCTGTCTGCTACGAATCATTAAATGACCAAGCTTAACCACACATACAATGACGTCAAACATGAAGGCCCAATTTATGAAAGATCTTGTTCCGGATCTTTAAAATTTAGACTGGACGGCTGTGACCTGATCTTCACCCTCTGACCTCTAGATTAAAATAACTCCTGCAGCCTATGTAATATTTGCCACCCTGACCTCAGAGGTTTTAATTTAACATTTCCACTTTTACCACAATATTTGATCCTTTCCTGAATGTTTGTTTTGAATTCCTTCAAAGTTTTACTTTTCATATTTCATGTTATGTTTGTTGAGTAACGTATTCTCAATGTTAGATCTATGTTTTATAGTGTTACCATCACTGATAACTATTCTATCCATAAATCCTGTGATTTTCAGCAATATAGATTGAATTGCTTTCCTTTAATTTCAGTACCACACGATTTCAGTAGATTTTTAACTTACCACAGAAATCCCCTTTCTCTTCCCTTATATATTTTTTATTCATTCATTCATTTATTCGTTCATATCATTTCTTCTCAAATGGTTAGATGTAAAAAAATAGCTTTACAAAATATTGCCAGACGTAAGCACAAAATTACCTTGGCTCCCAGGTCGACCTAGCCTTGAATGGGTACCAGGTATAGTCTTAGGAAGTAAAGTCGGCCAGCGTGATGATAAACACAATACGTACCGAGTGCCGAATAGCCTATAAAATATAGGTATGGCCCTATACGCCCAATTTTACAGCATGTAAATTCACAATGTTGAGAACATTGCAGTGACATTCGCTGTGTTTGATATGGGTGCTTAGGGTTCACGTATCATTATCAGCATCATCATGCCCCATTTGTTTATCATTTCCCTGTGAATTTTACCTGTGATTTCTATGCATGTTAACTTTTAGTATCCACACCGGGAAAACAGTTTTACTCGCGAGTCTTTTTCGTGGAAGAATCTGACGGCCCAGATTTGAGTGAGTACGAGGTTGACCACATGGCCAGTCGAGGGTTAATTGTTTTATACAAATATGAATCTAGCCTTATGGGCTTGTTGTGTCACTGCCATATAAGGGGGCATATACTTCTACTTTTAAAATAAATGAATAGAGAAACAAAATTATCGAGGGATTGAAGGGGCAACTGAAGCCAGTCTTAGAAGAGAGTAAATCAGCTACTTGAAGTGGCTTCCGGCATTTACGCCTCTATAAGCCACTTGAAGTAGCTGCTAGTATACTAAAAGTTAACAGTCACTGTCATCCAATCCCTAACTCAGAACCTCTGTTTCCATATTAAAAACAAATCCACCTACCTTCACTTCACATATTTTCACCCCTGAGTGACACTAACCTTGAACCTTCACCCCAGGCCCGCCGTGACCTGCAGTATTCATCTTTGAAGCACCTCTTCCCTGGATGCATCCCTCCACCCTGACCAAATGTGAATACTTTGCAGAGGCTGCACCACGGAACCCTTTCCCTACGGTTTGAACCCTCACCCCTTACCCTGCTAACTCCTAAGATCAGAATCTATTCACCAGCCTGTTGGATGCAAACCCTTAACGAGTGTGCCCTCCTTCCCGACCGATCTGTTGCACGAAGTCCACAGCCGAGGGCAACCTTCTGGACCACTGCGGTAAAAGTTTGTCTCGGAGACACCACACCAATATGTAATGACATCACTATGTAATTCGTAAGTATTACATTAATGAATTAGCAGGTAATTGTTGATTCTAAGCTACAAGAAGACAAAACAATTCCCGAAGTTGTCATTCAACGCAAAACTCAAGTTCTGAAAGAAGACCAAAGTTCGGAAGAAGACGAACACACCAAGACTTCCCGCTGGAGGAGTTGACAGTCGATGAAAGCAAAGAAGAAGCAGAAACATCCTTCCTGCTTGCAACAGAGAAACGACCAATAAAACTAACGCAAGAAAAAAAAAAAAACCTCACCACACACATAACTAAAGTGTCACAGGAAGCAGACCGAACGAGGTTTTTCTTCAGCAAACAAAAGAATGAATCCTTCTTTCGTTATCCGGATAAGCCAGTGTTTTCGGGATGCCGAACTCTCAGGGACCGACTACTGTATGCTGTGAAAAGATGATACGAGATCACGACTAATCCTCTTCTCAGTATTCTAGAACTTGCCTGCAGTAAAAGCACACCTCAATGAATGGACACCGGTCAACGAATAGCTTTTCAAACACCAACATTTCAAAAAGAAACATTTTAAAACAGCATTTAGGAGGAAACGTGTTGGTCCGGGACCCCATTTGGAAGAGGGGGTGGGGGGGGGGGAATAGACCAACTGCTTCTGACGAAGCATGCCGTAAAAGGCGACTAATTAGGAGATTGTGCTGAAATATGATGATGTGGTCGAATAGTAACCGCCCTTCTAAGAGCGGATACCAAAGAAAAAAGAAGAAGCAAAAGATGATTAAAAAAAGAAGAAGAAGAAAAAAGAAGAAGTAGCAGCAGCAACAGCAGAGGAAGGAGCTTATGATGATGATAATGAATAATAAGATGTAGAAGAAGAAGCAGAAAAGGAAGAAGAAAGAAGAAGAAGAAAAAGAAGAAGAAGAAGATGATGATGATGGCGAAGAAGAAGAGGAAGAAGAAGAAAAAAGAAGAAGAAGAAGAAGAAGAAGAAGAAGAATAAAGGGTATTTAAATTTAAGATAATAAGTTATAAAGCTAAATATCTGTAAATAAAAATATTTATGTCTGTTCATTCATCCATTACTGTTTCCGTCTGTCTGCCTCATCTGGTAAAATTTCTTGTCTGTCTGTTGTAGGTTTGTTTATCTACCTATTAATGTTAGTGCACTAAGTGCGTATCTGCTCTCTACAAACCTGTCTGGCTGTCTTTCTGTCACTGCCTATTTTGCTGTATTTGTCCATATTTTCTGTCTTCATGTCCATATGTCTGTCTACTTACTGTTCCTGCTCCTATCTGAAATTAATCAGACATAATTGTTTGTGTCTAAAATGAATGATTTTTACGCGCAGGCGCACGCGCAAGCACACATACTCACACCCCACACACTTACAACATAGACAATAACATTCACACATGCACACGCTTACTCCACACACTTACAACATACACAGTTAAACTCACACATGCACACGCTTACTCCACACACGTAAACATACACAGTTAAACTCCGCTTACTCCACACACTAACAACATACACAGTTACACCAACACATGCGCACGCTTACTCCACACACTTACAACATACACAGTTATACACACACATGCATACGCGTACTCCAAACATACTTCCACCACAAATACACATGCGCCATACAGACGCGTATGCATGTCTACAAACTATAAAACTAATGGCCACACTTCACGGCCAAATGTAATGTCTGTATTTTGATGTGAAAGCAGACTATTTTGTCTGGTTTCAGGGTAAATTCATCCGTATTCACTTCGGCCCTCAAGGAAAAATCGCTGGCGCTGATATTGAGACCTGTAAGTTGTATGTCTATTTGTCTGTCTGTCTTCCTTGCTTCTCTATTCTTTCACTCTATTGCTGTATTTTTCTCTGTAATGTTCATAATATTTCTACATATTATTGATGAAATATACACAATGTAATGTTGATTTATATATCTCTAATTTTTATAAAGTACTTGTATTGTTGATAAAATAAGTTTATCTGTGTAATATTGATAAAATGTTTCCGAATTGTTGACAAAATATTGTTATAATGTTGATCGATTCTCTCTGTGAAATAAATAATAATAATAAAAAAAATAATTCCCAGACGTAAGTTAAGCAAAAGATCATGATATGACAATGATTAAATCACTTGACGGCAGTGACACAATCTGCCTGCAATAATAACATAATATCGCTTTCATACTGGTGATCCACAGATTTGCTGGAGAAGTCTAGAGTCACCTTCCAGCAGCCGGTAGAGCGTAACTACCACATCTTCTATCAACTGTTGTCTCCCACCTTAACCCATCTACATGGTAAGTGTTCACATCCTGTCCTCATGGTGTTTGTACAGTATGCATAGGATGGTCATGTCTATATGATGTTTGTTCAGTGTACATCGGTTGGTCATGTCTATATGGTGTGTGTACAGTGTACATCGGATGGTAATGTCTATATGGTGTGTGTACAGTGTACATCGGTTGGTCCTGTCTATATGGTGTGTGTACAGTGTACATCGGATGGTAATGTCTATATGATTTTAACATCTCAGTCAGTAGAGGCGTCTTCTAGTAGCTGATGTATCACTCGTTCATTATGTCTGCATAATTCTGGACTCAATCGGTTTATTGTCATGGCTACCATGTGACTCGGCATTCTGCGATTGGTTGATTTATACGTAATTTGAAATGCGTCCTCCTTGTTTACAACGTGACGACGATTTCAAAATGTGGCGCGCCATGGATGACAGCCAGTTCCTTTTGATGCTGTCGATTTTGTGTTTCAGCTAGGAGGATTAATTTATTTGCCTCATTTTCGTCAATCGGCACTGTAGTATGCACCTGAAGAAATGCAAGCTGTAAATTGTGCAATCTATTGTTTGTTTCTTTTTTTTTTTTTTTTTATTATTCGTACTCCTTCTTGTCTGCCATCTATAGCTTTGTGATTCCTCTCACATTCCGTTAGCTGCAGCTCCTGTCTGCCACATTCTGCTCTGCGATACATCTTCATGTCAGTTAACTATAACTTCGCGAGGAGCCTCATCTAAAGCAGTATTACCTATACATCTACAGAGAAACTGTTGCTGAGCCCAGACCCTGCCCTCTACACGTTCATCAACCAAGGATCGCTGATTGTCGATGGCATTGATGACACTGAGGAGATGAAAATCACCGATGTAAGGAAGTTTATTACATGTTACTGTTTATATATTTAATCAATCAGGTTTCGTCTCCACAGTTAACTTTGGATGGAATGGATCTCTCACGTATTCTGTCACTCGCCTTGGTTGTACATTCTCTCAGACTGCGGGGCCACCAACTCTTGATACTGTTCTCCCACTGTCCTTAAACCGTGGTTCCTATGAATAAAATGGGTACAGAGATCTCCGTTAGGGGTGGAAGGATGGGGAAGGGGTAGAACCATTGCCTCCTAACATGTCGTAAAAGGCGACTAACTAGGTGTTTAATGAAACTGGCAGTGTTAGGCCGAAAGGCGCAGATATCGCTGCTTTGCTGTAAACCACGTGCCACGCTTTTAAGAGAGAAAACAGTGGAAGAAGGAGAAGAAGACTGTACCAGATACATTCTTGGGAAGTAAAGGCGGCTGGAACCATAATTACAACATCATCGATCGAGTACCGATTTGGTAGCATCACATGCTGGACGCGCTCTGCCATAAGAAAGATAATTCTTCTTCTTCTTTTTCTTCTTATTCTTCTTCTTCTTCTTCTTCTTCTTCTTCTTCTTCTTCTTCTTCTTCTTCTTCTTCTTCTTCTTCTTCTTCTTCTTCTTCTTCTTCTTCTTCTTCTTCTTCTTCTTCTTCTTCTTCTTCTTCTTCTTCTTCTTCTTCTTCTTCTTCTTCTTCTTCTTCTTCTTCTTCTTCTTCTTCTTCTTCTCTTTTACAACTTCGGCTGTTTCTTGCCCTTCTGACCATCTCGACCATAGACAAATCGTGTTGTTGTAGAGTTTCTGTTATTTGTCCACCTTGTTTTTGGTCTCCCTCATAATCCACGTTCTTCTCCTTTTTTGCTGTATGCCTTAAATGGTATGGCGTCGCAAGGCATTCTCTCTAAATGACCAACTCATTTGATTTACTGTCTTTATAATTGGTTCTGCGCTGAATTTTCCCTTTTGTAGATTCATTTAAAAATGGACCCTTTCCCACACCTTTAGGCGTATTGGGCATATAGGGCTAGATTTATATTTTATAGACCAGTAGGCACAGGATGGGTGAATCACACCGGCTGCCTTTACTTCTTGGGACTTTACCTGGTATCCTTAAAGACTGGGTCGACGTGGGAACCAAGGTTATTTAAGGCAAACCCACGACCGAAGGTGAGCGTCTAGCCGCTACAGCTCGGCAGCATCCTAAGGGTCCTTTACTTACTTTGTATCTTAATCCCCGCCTTTGATAGTTGTTCTGATGACCATCCGGGATCTGTGTCCAACAGGAAGCCTTTGATGTGTTGGGCTTCTCGCCCGAGGAGAAGACCTCCCTTTACCGGTGTACGGCCGCCATCATTCACTTTGGCGAGATGAAGTTCAAGCAGAGACCCAGAGAGGAACAAGCCGAGGCTGATGGCACAGCTGGTAAGTAAGCCTGCCTTGGTATGTTTGGTTGGAGTTTGAATTTCATGGGATCTGTATTTATGTACAAATACGTACAATAACACCTCTAAATCATCATCGTGTGCCATTCTGGTAAGCGTAGCTTTCCTGTTTTATCTCACACGATCACCAGAATCACGGATCAAGTCAATGTTTTTATCTCGCTCTCGCCTCATCTATCTGACCAGGTCATCTGCTTTATCTATTTGCCTTCCTCTTGTTCCCTTTCCACCAATCCTGCCAGTTTTTACCAAGCGATGGAGTCCGTTCTTTCTTATACGTCCGAAACATATTGACTCTCTACGTCTAGTTGTTTGAATAAGTCTTAAGTTACACTTTTCAACATTGATTTCTGGCTCTCTTTTCTCTCTGTGTGTGAGTGTATATGTGCTCGCGCGTGTGTTTGTATATACGTCCCAGACAAGTACTAGAGTTGTCACCAAACCAATATATACTGATCCATCTGATTTTTTTAAAATGTTGAATGTTGTGTCTCCTTCCCGCAGAAGCCGAAAAGGTTGCCTTCCTGCTGGGCATCAACGCCGGAGACCTTCTCAAGGGTCTTCTGAAACCCAAGATCAAGGTCGGTACAGAGTTCGTGACTCAAGGCCGTAACCTCAACCAGGTAAGTTCAAGGACATCAAAATAATGTTAGTTTAGTTTTAGAGAAATCCCCGGGGGCGTATACTTAAGGGGACATTGCTGTCGTTTATTATATTATACTGTAAAATATTATAATATTTTTTTCTTTTCTCCTCTTTCTTTCTTCCTGTTTCTTCTTCTTCTTCTTCTTCTTCTTCTTCTTCTTCTTCTTCTTCTCTTCTTCTTCTTCTTCTTCTTCTTCTTCTTCTTTCTTCTTCTTCTTCTTCTTCTTCTATCTTCTTCTTATTCTTCTTCTTCTTCTTCTTCTTCTTCTTCTTCTTCTTCTTCTTCTTCTTCTTCTTCTTCTTCTTCTTCTTCTTCTTCTTCTTCTTCTTCTTCTTCTTCTTCTTCTTCTTCTTCTTTCTTCTTCTTTTCTTTCTTCTTCTTCTCTTTTCTTCTTCTTCTTCTTCTTCTCTTCTTCTTCTTCTTCTTCTTCTTAATCTTCTGCTCTTTCTCTTTTTCTTCTTCTTTTCTTCTTCTTCGTATCTTCTTCTTCTTCTTCTTCTTCTATCTCTTCTTCTTCTTCTTCTTCTTCTTCTTCTCTTCTTCTTCTTCTTCTTCTTCTTCTTCTTCTTCTTCTTCTTCTTCTTCTTTCTTCTTCTTCTCTTCTTCTTCTTCTTATTATATTTTCTTCTTCTTTTCTCCTCTTTCTTTCTTCCTGTTTCTTCTTCTTCTTCTTCTTCTTCTTCTTCTTCTTCTTCTTCTTCTTCTTCTTCTTCTTCTTCTTCTTCTTCTTCTTCTTCTTCTTCTTCTTCTTCTTCTTCTTCTTCTTCTTCTTCTTTTTTTTATATGTAATATTGTATTGTACTTTATGGTATTGCCTTGTGTTATATTATATTATCCAACATTATATTATATCACACTGTATGATAATACTGTACAACATTATATCGCAGCTCGTAGTTTTTTTTGCAGTTAATGAAAGCCACTGTAATGTAGCGGCTAGATACTCGCCTGCAAATCTGAAGGTCGTGGGTTCAGGTCCTGAAGGAGCCGGCCTTTTTTTAAAAAATGACCTTGGCTGCCAGGTCGACCTTGTCTTAAACAGCAAGTAGATAAAGTCCTGTAAAGTAAAGGGGGCCGGCGAGTTGTTACAGCATCACCCACGGAATGCCAATTATTCTATATAATATGGGTTAAGAACTATGTGCCCATTACACAGGAAGGCATAAAAAGGGCCTCTCCTAAACAATGGTTAATTATCCATACCTTGTAGCCCAGAAAAGCAGCGTCTGTGGCTTAGGTGTTGCAAGTCCGACTCGTAACCCCAGCGTACGGAGATCGAAACCCACTGCTGGCTGCATGAATTTTTATCGTGGTATGGGCTGTTGCAGGTCCACTCAGCTTAAAATGGGTACCAGGATGTATGTCCTGGGGAAGTAAAGACGGCCGGCGTATTGCTGACCCCATTGCCCACCTAGTGCCGATGGTATGTAACAATATGGGAGCTTTTCCCATTTGCCCGATGCGCATGGCCAATAAGACACCTTTTTTAGGGGGTGCCGAGTTGATCATGTATCTTAGTGCACTTGTATTCATGGCGAGGCGCAGACGCCATCTGGAGGTGACAGGTTCAATTCCCGGCACGGTAACTATAGCTTTCTATTTTGTTGTTGTCTAGTGTGTTCTTCTATCTTTCTACTTCTTTCTATGAGTGCCGTTCACAATACTTGCTGTTACTTGATTATTTCTAAAGGCGTGGAAAGGGATCTTTACTTTGTACTTTTTTGTAGCCCAGACAACACCTAGCACGTTGTTTGTTGTACGTTTCCATGACACCTGAACCATTACTGACCTCTGTCCACTCTAGGTGACCTACTCAGTCGCTGCCTTGGCCAAGTCTGTGTATGACCGCATGTTCGGATGGCTGGTCAAGCGTGTCAACAAGACTCTGGATACCAAGAACAAGAGGCAGTTCTTCATTGGTGTCTTGGACATTGCCGGATTTGAGATCTTCGATGTGAGTCTTCCACTGACAGAAGTTCTTCATCTTCATGTTTGTTGTTACTGCAATGCCGGTTCTATTCATTTTTGCCTTCCACATTCTAATCATACTGCATGTAACCCTACCCCAACCTCGTGCCATTTAATATTCAATTTCTCTGTCTTCTAATCCTTGTCATCATCAACCATCCCCCCCCCCGTGTGGGTTCCGGGGCCCCATTGTGGGAAAAACAAGAATAGACCCACTGCTTCCCCAAAAGCATGTCGTAAGAGTCGACTAATTGGGGAGCTTCCTTTGAAGTCAGAGTGCATCTGCCAGAGAGGCAAGGAACCAACAGTCTGTATTCAAGAGAATGAGATATGTAAAACTGATGCACACGCAACACTCAGGTTCTGGAGCAGGACTGCAGTTCAGTAGTGGACGAGCAACCAGAACTTTCCACCAGAGTGTACAGCTGGTGAACGCGAAGAAGAAGAAGCAGATCAACCATCCAATCTTTCTCATCACCCACCATCCAGTCCTTCTTACCACTTCAGCCTTCTTATCATCGACCATCCAGTCCTTCTCACCACTTTACCCTTCTCATCATCCACCATCCAGTCCTTCTCACCACTTTACCCTTCTCATCATCCACATCACCCAGTCCTTCTCACCACTTTACCCTTCTCATCATCCACCATCCAGTCCTTTTCAACACCCACCATTCAATTGTTGTCAACATCTCAGAGGTGCTGAATCACACAAGATTGTGCAGCATGACCAGGCCACAAACACCAGCCAAGACCTGCCTACACCGCGAGCTGTCTCAAAATAATTTTAGGTCCCTGGGCAAACCAGAGACCCGGGGCCTCTAGGACAACCCATTTCATTTATGGAAAATAACTTGATTTACACAGAATAGCATGAAGCCCCTCTCCTTGTTGCGCCCCAGTAACACCAAGAGCTAAGAAAGCCCTATGTAAAACTCCCCGCAGTCGTCACAGAAACAGGTTACCGACCAGGAGCCTGACAAATGTATACAGGATCAGGGTTTTCTTTGATGTCAAAGCACTCATGCCCAAGAGTCGAGAAACCAACAGTCTGTACACACATAAGCCAGATGTGTAAAACTGTTGTGCACGTTAAAATCGACTCCTGAAACAAGATTAAAATCAACAACCAGGACTTCATATTTTATGCATGTTGGCGATCACATGTTAGCGTTGTCAATTTGTAATGCTCTGTTGTGTCTTTTAGTGGCAGCCGCTGTGGCGGGGCAGCTAGACTGTCGTCTGCTGATCCCAATATCGTGGGACCAAATCCGCATTGAGCCGAATTTATTTTCAAAAGATGACCTTGACTCCCAGGTACTTTTAGCCTCTAATGAGTATACCGGGTAACATCCTGGGAAGTAAAGGCAGCCGACAAGATATTGACCACCTCACCCATCAAAGGTCGATTGGTCTATACAAATTTGAGTCTAATCTGATATGCCCGATGTGCCATCCTCTCCATAGCACAAAGCCTGGGCAGTATTGTAGAGACCACGTATCATGATCCCTCTCGGCCTTGTTTACTCCAAAAGAAAGGTAACAGCAATTGGCGTGTAAACTGACCATTTGTTGTTGTTGTTAAAACTGTCTTGTAATGCTCTAACATGATACAAGTCTGGAAGTAGTGTAGAGATCACATTTTGCCCATGCATGATCTCCTTCACTCGGCCTGCCTTGTATACTTGAAAGGAAAGGTGACAGCCATTGGCGTGTTAAGGGATTGTGTGTTGTAAAAACTATCTTTTAATGCTATTACATGATACAAGCGAATGACCTCACTACATCTGTCAACGTTCACAGTACAACAGTTTCGAGCAGCTCTGCATAAACTACACCAACGAGCGCCTGCAGCAGTTCTTCAACCACCACATGTTCATCCTGGAGCAGGAGGAGTACAAGAAGGAGGGCATCGACTGGGAGTTCATTGACTTCGGTATGGACTTGCAGGCAGCCATTGATCTCATTGAGAAGGTAGGGGAAATTCCTGGTTTGTAGGTTACTGGCAGACAGACAGACACAAACAGCTAGCCAGACTGACACAAACAGCTAGCCAGACAGACACAAACAGCTAGCCAGACTGTCACAAACAGCTAGCCAGACTGTCACAAACAGCTAGCCAGACTGACACAAACAGCTAGCCAGACAGACACAAACAGCTAGCCAGACTGTCACAAACAGCTAGCCAGACTGACACAAACAGCTAGCCAGACTGTCACAAACAGCTGGCCAGACTGACACAAACAGCTAGCCAGACTGACACAAACAGCTAGCCAGACTGTCACAAACAGCTAGCCAGACTGTCACAAACAGCTAGCCAGACAGACACAAACAACTAGCCAGACAGACACAAACAGCTAGCCAGACAGACACAAACAGCTAGCCAGACAGACACAAACAGCTAGCCAGACAAACACAAACAGCTAGCCAGACAGACACAAACAGCTAGCCAGACTGACACAAACAGCTAGCCAGACAGACACAAACAGCTAGCCAGACAGACACAAACAGCTAACCAGACAGACACAAACAGCTAGCCAGACAGACACAAACAGCTAGCCAGACTGTCACAAACAGCTAGCCAGACAGACACAAACAGCTAGCCAGACAAACACAAACAGCTAGCCAGACAGACACAAACAGCTAGCCAGACAGACACAAACAGCTAGCCAGACAGACACAAACAGCTAGCCAGACATACAGGTGGAAGGACGGAAAGACAGTTGAAAAGTTAGTTGGGTATCCTTTACAGGAAGTTGCAGAACCAACCAGCATTTGTGTGTGTGTATGTTTGGGCTGTTTTTGGTTTGACTAGACAATTTTACGTTCAGTAGTTTGCCATTGCCTACTCACGGTCAGAAGAGATTGGGGTTACACCATGTAGTATGCCCAAAGGAAGCAGTGGTCCACCCCTGTGTGTGTTCCTGAGCCCCTTTTTGGTGGTGTGGGGGGGGGGGGATAGCTCCACTGCCCCTATCAAGTATGTTGTAAAAAGTCTAATAATTAGGGGCGTTTCTTTTGAAGTCGGAGTGTATCTGTCTGCTTATAAGTATGCCAGATCTGTAAAACGAATGTGCACCCAACACTCACGTTCTACAGCAGTACTAAAATTTAGAATTAGATTAAAAAAAACCAGAACTTTCCGCCAGAGTTTACAGCCTGTTGAACGTGAAGAAGAAGATAAAGAAGAAAAAGACGAAAAAGAAGAAGAAGAAGAAGAAGAAGAAGAAGAAGAAGAAGAAGAAGAAGAAGAAGAAGAAGAAGAAGAAGAAGATATACATAGTAGCCAATTTTAGCTGTGAAGACGGTAATAATTATTTGTAATTAAAACTATGCCCTATCCAATCCTCAGCCTATGGGCATCTTGTCCATCCTTGAGGAAGAGTGCATGTTCCCTAAGGCTAGTGACAAGACCTTCCTGGAGAAGCTGAACAACAACCATCTGGGCAAGTCCAAGAACTTCAGCAAGGCGGGCAAGCCCAAAAAACCTGGCCAGGTTGAGGCCCACTTTGAGCTGCATCATTATGCTGGCAGTGTGAGTCTTAACATCATCATCATCACCACCTTCTTCTTGTCTCTACTCCTGCAATGCCTTGCAGCGCCAGGAGTGAAAGAGATCTCTGGGACGGGCCCTTCTTTTCGCTTCGTATTTAGTGTCTCCAAAGTCCGTTTTCTGTATTGTCGACCTGTGGATCTGTTACTGCTGTATCTTTATAATATTGTTCTCTGTCGTGTACCGTCACACCCACCTCCTCCTCATCATCATAAACCACGCTTCTGCCGTTAAGTCGTGGGGAGGAATTTTTTAAATAGTTTTAACGGTCGTCTAATTTTATAAATAACTATAAATTACTGGTATTATGAGGGCTAATATGAGCCGCCCTGGTCTGGTGGTTGGACGCGGGCCTGATCAGAAGGTTGTGGGTTTGCTCCCTGGCGGAGCCAGACTTTTTTTTTCAATAATTACCCTGGCTCCTAGGTAGACCCAGCTTTAAGTGGGTACCCGGTCTAGTCCTGGGAAGTAAAGACGACCGGCGTGATGCTGAAAACATCACCCATCTTGTGCCGACTGGTCTATAAAAATATAGCCCTATATGCCCTATACGCCTAAAGGCATGTAAGAGAGTCCTTTACTTTACTTTTTTTCCATATGCCTGATGTGCCTAAAGGTATGAAAAGGGATCTTTTTTTTAATTATACAAGATAAGCTGGTGTAATTTAAAATGGTAGGGGCCTCAAGGCTTCGTGTAACTTAGGAAACCACCAAATCTAAATCCGGCCCTGATTGCCCGATTCATTTCTGAATCTGCTTTCTGTTTGTCTTTGTCATTGTTTTTCTCAATCTGTGCGTCCCTCTACTGTTCCCGTTCGTTGCAATAATGTGTCTGTCTGCAATAATGTGTCTGTCTGCAATAATGTGTCTGTCTGCAATAATGTGTCTGTCTGCAATAATGTGTCTGTCTGCAATAATGTGTCTGTCTACAATAATGTGTCTGTCTAATTATTAAGTGATGAAAATAATGGCGTCTGCCGGTGTCTGGGATTCTTGTTGTTGTTGTGGTGCTCGCTGATGACGACTAAGGTCGAAACGTTCGACTGTTTCTCTGCGTTTCTTCTTCCTTTATAGTCATGGTTCAGTGAAATCGCTCCTGATAGGTGTACTGTTCTGTCTATCGGACCCTTAGTCTTTCTCTGTCAGTACGCTGGTCATTGGGGTTGTGTCTGCCTGTATCTATCCATTAATGTGTCTTTCTGTCATAACCATTTAGACCTACATTTTCTATGCCTGCTTGATTGTCCCTCAAATTACGTACACACGTACCTTCTTGTCCCTCTCACTCCCTGTCTGTCTGCATCTCTACCTATCTGCTTCCCTACCTGACTATCTCTCTGCCTCTATACATGTCTGCGGCCCTACCTGACTGTCTCTCTATCTGACTACCTGTCTTTACGTAAGATGCACCTCATGCCCAGTTAGTGACCTTTTGAAAAGCATTTCGTTTTTTTTTTTTCGTTTTGTCTGCCTTTTGCTGTCAGTTGGTCTGTTAGCTCCTTCGCCCGTCAGTTGGCATGTGTGCTTCTTTTCCCGTCAGTTTGTATGTCTGCTTCTTTTCCCGTCAGTTTATATGTCTGCTTCTTTGCCCGTCTGCTTCTTTGCCCGTCATTTTGTATATCTGCTTTTTTGTCCGTCACTTTGTGGGTCTGCTTCTTTGCCCGTCAATTTATATGTCTGCTTCTTTGCCCGTCAATTTGTTTGTCAGCTTCTTTGCCCGTCAGTTTATATGTCTGCTTCTTTGCCCGTCAGTTTATATGTCTGCTTCTTTGCCCGTCAGTTTATATGTCTGCTTCTTTGCCCGTCAGTTTATATGTCTGCTTCTTTGCCCGTCAGTTTATATGTCTGCTTCTTTGCCCGTCAGTTTGTGTGTCTGCTTCTTTTCCCGTCACTTTGTATGTCTGCTTCTTTGCCTGTCAGTTTGTATGTCTGTCTGCTTCTTTTCCCGTCACTTTGTCTGTCTGTCTGCTTCTTTTCCTGTCAGTTTATATGTCTGTTTTTCCCCCTCGCTTGGTCTGTCTGCTTCTTTGCCCGTCAGTTTATCTGTCTGCTTCTTCGCCCCTCAGTTGGCCTGTCTGCTTCTTTGCCCGTCAATTGATCCCTTTGCACCTTCACCTGTCAATCCTCTGCTTCTCTACAGTATTGATCCTCTAATTTCAGGTGCCCTACAACATTACTGGCTGGCTGGAGAAGAACAAGGATCCATTGAACGAGACTGTGGTCGAGTTGTTAGCACACTCCAAGGAGGCGCTTGTGTGTATTCTCTTCGCCTCTCCTGAACCTGGTAAGTGGGAATCTAGCTAAGAAAGCTATACTGCTGGAGGTGCCAAATCCGGTGACGCTGGGGTCAAATTCGGTGACGCTAGGGTCAAATTCCAAGCTACTTGACGTAAATTTGCCTAGAGAAACCACACAACAGCCAGAGGCTGTTGGGGTTGGTTCTGCAACGTCCTGTAAAGGATACCCAACTAACCTTTAAAAGGGTCAAATTCGGTGATAGATGGGGTGATATTAGGTTAGAAAATGTTATAATGGAGGCTTTTAGGCTGTGTGGTTTTAGACTAGGTGATGTTAGGTTGGATGATGTTGGATTGGAGGTTGGGTGATGTTAGGTAAGGCAATGTTAGGCTGGGTGATAGGTTCAGTGATGTTGGACTGAGTGGAGTGGAGGTGTTGTTAGGTGTTGTTTTGTTGGGTGATGTTTTGTTGGGTGATGTAAGGTGATTTTAACGTTGTTTGGGATTTTTTTTTTTTTTTTTTTTTACTTTTTTATTGTTTACTTCCTTTTTTTTTACTTCGTTATTTTAACCTCTTTATTACCTCTTTCTTGTCACCTATATATTTTGATGTCTTTTTTTTCACCCCTTTATTTCAACTACTTTATTACCTCTTTCTTTTGATCTCTTTTTAAACGTATTTATTTCTAACCTCTTTATTTTCAATTGCAACCTTTTTATCTTAAACTGTTTATTTTAACCTCTGTGTATACATCTTTAAAACAGAGGCCGGAGGAGGTGCTGGAAAGAAGAAGAAATCCACTGCCTTCCAAACCATTTCTTCCGTCCACAAGGTAAGTCATCTCTCATTAACATATCTGAACCAACACATGCATGAACCAACACACAATGAGCTAACCAAGTTTATTTTCCAACTGCGCATGCCTGCCCGTCTTACATTAGGCCCTTCCAAACAGCAAGTAAAATGCTTAAATAAACATGGATGGTATATGTATAAAGATGTACAAACATACCAGCACATATACATAGGTACACATACACACACATGCATGCATGCATACACTCATACATACCCACTCACATATGCAAGATCGATGTTTGTTATAGTCATCAATTCTTCACAATAACTGGGGAACCATAACAAATAACAATTTGGCGGCGGGCAGGAGGAACTTGGTTTTACATTTTCCAGCCAGGGATGGAGGTCTCGCGGGTACTAATCTATGTTTAATGGCGCAAGAGTAATAACCTTTTCCACGCCTTTAGGCGTATTGGGTATATAGGACTAGACCTATATTTTATAGATCAATCGGCACTTGGTAAGTGATGTGGTCAGGACTGTACCTGGTACCCACTCACTGCTGGGTTGACATGTGAACCACAAACCAATTTGGCAAAATAGTCAAGCAGCTTGTCAGGACCGGAACCGACGACCTTCCGATCCGCAGACGAGCGTTTAGCCACTAGACGACGGCGGCTCCCAGTAATAGTAATGTTCTGATAATACAAACCCGTACAACCATTTAAAAATATGAACTGTTGTTTTTAAATCTGACACGTGGTCATTGATCATTTGGCAGGAATCTCTGAACAAGCTGATGAAGAATCTGTACAGCACACATCCTCACTTTGTGCGTTGTATCATCCCCAACGAGTTCAAACAGCCAGGTAAGACCTCATTTCTTACCTCTCTTTCAGTAGCTTTGTAAAAATCTGTCGTTCCCAAGCAACATTAGGTGTGTGAATGAATGTAGCTCGTGTGTGAATGAATGCTCCTCGTGTGTGAATGAATGCACCTCATGTGTGAATGAATGTACCTCTTGATTCCCCTTCATGCCATAATGCGCACTCTTGGTTTTACCATTTGGTCAGAAAATACTAGAGAAATCTGGCCTCCCCGTATCGCCACTGCAACTATGTATATTGTCAGTTTGAAAGTAAAGGCAGCATGATTATTTGGTCACTTTGGTCTCTCTGGGTAAGCCTTCTGAAACTGAACCAGTTCAACTGTCTGAGAATGCCACAGAACGAACTGGCACAGAGAGCCACGGTGACGGAACGAACTGGCACAGAGAGCCAAAGTCACGGAACGAACTGGCACAGAGAGCCAAGGTCACGGAACGAACTGGCACAGAGAGCCAAGGTCACGGAACGAACTGGCACCGAGAGCCAAGGTCACGGAACGAACTGGCAGAGAGAGCCAAGGTCACGGAACAAACTGGCACAGAGAGCCACGGCCACGGAACTAACTGGCACAGAGAGCCAAGGTCACGGAACGAACTGGCACAGAGAGCCAAGGTCACGGAACGAACTGGCACAGAGAGCCAAGCTCACGGAACGAACTGGCACAGAGAGCCAAGGTCACGGAACGAACTGGCACAGAGAGCCAAGGTCACGGAACGAACTGGCACAGAGAGCCAAGGCCACGGAACGAACTGGCACAGAGAGCCAAGGTGACGGAACGAACTGGCACAGAGAGCCACGGCCACGGAACGAACTGACACAGAGAGCCAAGGTGACAGAACGAACTGGCACAGAGAGCCAAGGTCACGGAACGAACTGGCACAGAGAGCCAAGGTCACGGAACGAACTGGCACAGAGAGCCACGGTGACGGAACGAACTGGCACAGAGAGCCAAGGTCACAGAACGAACTGGCACAGAGAGCCACGGTGACGGAATATAATGGAAACGGACCAAGCGGAAGACCCCGTGAATACAGAACGAAGGCATCAAGACCACCTCAAAGAAATGAAGGTCAACTTATGCAGTGCATTAAAAAGAGTATTAGGAGAGTCTTGCATCCCACTTCGATTAGGTAACTACAGGCAGAGGAGAAGAAGTGATTTCAGAAAACAACTCGCTGTCTGAAATCTGGGCCCTGTTTAAAAAAAAATTGACTCCGCCCCCCCCCCCCCCCTTTTTTTCCCCCCACAATAAGCATGTCATTAAAGAACACTAATCAGGGATGTTTCCTTCACTGTCGGACTGCAATGTCTGAGAGGCGAGGAACCAACAGTCTGTACACAAATAAAATAAGCCACATCTGTTAAACGGATGTGCACGCAAAACTCCAGTTCTAGTTACACAGTGGAAGAGGCTGGCGCGCAGGCACGCCATACTTCCAAAGACAGTGAGGACTCTGTATGTAGCCAACTTTTCTTGCGGAGACGACACATAATATTTGTTAACATAAAAATAGAACAAAATCAAGAATAACACATTGGTTTTTTCGTTCTCCAACAGGTGCGATCGACTCTCACTTGGTCATGCACCAGTTGCAGTGTAACGGTGTGCTTGAGGGCATTCGTATCTGCCGAAAGGGATTCCCCAACAGGATCATCTACTCAGAGTTCAAGCAACGGTGGGTCTCCTTTTCATCTTCTACACTTCCTCTTTTACCGCTTCGGGTATCCAGGAAGATATATAATGTTATTCATATTGTCGCCTCGACCATAGACACATCATGATAGTTTCTCTGATGTTATCTTTCCGTCTCCTTCTTGGTCTACATCATGCTCTACGTTCTTCTCCTCTTTTGGTGTATGCCTTGTATGGTATGACGTTACAGGACATTCTTTCTGAGTCTGAAAACATTTGATTAAGGATAATTCCGCCACACTATGGCAAGCAGTTTTTTTTAAAAAGCACCAACCCGGCTGTGATTGGGGGCCCTAAATATAACCAAACGGTTCAGCGGGGTTTCTTGGACTTGCAACTGAAGAATTATCATCCGAATGGTGGCATTTTGTGTCACCGGGGGTTAACATTCGTTGTACGGTCCTAGTGGGAGTTGAACGTTAGTCAGTCAACCATTAAATTTGATGTTGTTGTGTGTCATGTAGCGCGGTTTCTATGACGACTTCTCTCTCTCTCTCTCTCTCTCTCTCTCTCTCTCTCTCTCTCTCTCTCTCTTCTCTCTCTCTCTCTCTCTCTCTCTCTTGTGACCTCACTCCTAATATCATCTCTTCTGGCGACTCCTTTAGCGCACCCCAAACATTTCATTTCTAAAGTTACTAATTTTGTTGTCTGGTTTGTTTTGAGTGACAATGTCTGGCACTGGTAGGGTGGGAAAGAATATACTTTTAAGAGATGTTTTGTTGTGGTGATTGGTTAGGTCTTAACCGACATAATCTATATTTTAGATAACTCATTAGAACACCTCCCACATTTGGGTTCTGAGGCCCCAATTTGTTAAAAATGGGGAGATGGATTAGAACCACTGCTGGTCAATAATCATGTTGTGAGAAGTTTGCTGAAATCGGTTGTGTTTGGCTGAAAGGCGCAGATATCACAGACTAGCTGTAAGTCACAACACTGTGTTTCAATCGCCTTTTTGAAACTAATGCAGAAGAAGAAAAAGAAGAAGAAGGTGATGATGGTTATGAAGATGAAAATGAGGATGAGGAAGTAGATTCAGAGGAGAATAAGGGGAAAAAAAAAAAGACATTCATGTTCGTAACTATGCCGATAGTCTCGCAAACTATCACGGGAGGTAATAATATGCTAAAACACACAAACAAGTGAAGCTACAACTGCGATATTTTGGGAGCTACCGAGTGAAGCCGCTAGACACTCTCTTGCTGATCCGAAGGTCGGAGGTTCAGATCCACAGTAAGCCGAATTCTTTTCAGTCATGGCATTGTGGTGTCTGTGGATTACCTGCCTCCTCAGACAGCAGCCAGAAAGGCTCTGTACCAGTTCAAAAGGAAACACATAGCTAAGGTGGGGCTCACAGTGTGCTCATTCCCCGCCACCAGATTGCCTGCTGGTTTCCCTGAGCTCTTCTTGGCTCTAAGCATGGCTAAAGCATGAGTAGTTGGGGCAACTGGATCGTGACGTCCTGAGTCCCTGTGCCTTCACGGTAGTTTCCGGTATTCAGAGAGGGTTAGCATACTTGTTTCCACTTCTAAGACTGTTCAGCCCACCTCCGGCTCCTTCCCTCCCACAGGGGGCAGTACGGTGTGGTGCACCGAGTTTATTATCGAGGTTTGCTCCTCTAGATCCATTTGCACCTCCAGTTACCAGGACTACCTCGGGGAGGTTGTGACTCTTTGCCACGCACAATGGTCTTGTGGTAAGAGAGTTCATGCTAGGTCAAGAGGCTGACACCGCAATGGACGCTCCTTTCATGAACAGATATTCACTAGACCTAGGGTGAAGTCAGGGAAAAAAAACAACAACCCACTACCCACAACACTTCTTTCCCCCTGCCTCTCGAGGCTCAGTCCCTCAATCATGACTTTGGCTTCCATGGCGACCCACCCTTACATGGGTACCAGTACAAGCGGCCGGAGCGATGTTGACCTACCTCATCACCGATCGAGGACCGCTTGATCTATACCAGTGTCAGTCTAGCCTCATGTACCGAATGCAATACTGGCGTGCAAACGGAGTAATTTGAATTTGTGGCTTCTTTTTCCTTCTGCATTTCTAACCACTAGAGGTTCTAACCAGTTTACGCCAAGTCGTTTTATCGCATGCAGCTCTCCCGATGTCTTCGCTATCTTTTTAACTCTAGCTCCTTTCCCCGTTTTTTTTTTTTTTTTTTTTGTGTGTGTGGGGTATATTGAATAAAATAATACCCTTTGTGTGTCTGTTGTCCACAGTTACTCCATCCTGGCTCCCAACGCTATTCCTCAAGGATTCGTTGATGGCAAGAAGGTGACGGAGAACATTCTCGTGGCCCTTCAGTTGGATCCAGCCGAGTACCGTCTGGGAACAACCAAGGTGAGACATAGTTATTACATAATGAACTTTCAAGTATACTTTGCACAATTTATTGCCTGGCATATTTTGCTGTATTTCGTCAGGTGCGTTACTATCGAGGTACATAAACATTTAATGAAGCACTAAATGAATCATTTTCTTGCTGAAATGCATAAACCACATTGTCGAGTTGCTGTACATCTGTCCGCCGGAAATTGAAAATCAGTCACGTGATTACCATGGTAACTTCACATTGATCAGGTGATCTTTCTGTGAACATAACATAGCAGATTAGAGGAAAAGCTTAAAACACAAAGACCAATTCCTTTACTGAGATTTTGCATGAATGGGATTATTATCCTCGAGGCGTTGATCCTGCCGACTGCAATCCTGGAGGAGTTGAGTTAAGATGAGCTCAGTACAGAATTGACATCACTGCACTTGAGGCATTTCCATATGCGCTCTGTCTCCATCGTCAGCAGCCAGGGCGGAGTACCGGTCGTAGTCTGGTTATAATTTCGTCTTGCCTTTCCTCCGAGTGTAGTGAGCCCGCCATTTCAAGGCAGGCATTGTTAGTAGATGGTTAGGTTAGTTGCGTATCCTTTACAGGACTCTGCAGAACCAACCCCAACAGCCCCTGGCTGTTGTGAGGTTTTCCTAGGCAAATTTACTTCCAGTAAGTGGCCATGGCCGACTGGAAGGTCGGCTTTCCTGATACCACTGACGATACCAACGTAAGGCGCATGGCCCGCAGCTGGGATCGAAACCGGTATTTAGTAGATGACTAAATCATGTTACTGATTGCATCTGGGGAACCCGTGAGAGTCAGAAACAGAAGACAAACCCAGCAGTGGTCGTTGTCTGATTGCCCTACTTCTTGTGGATTTTCAGGTGTTCTTCAAGGCTGGTGTGTTAGGTACCCTTGAAGACATGAGAGACGAGCGTCTGTCCAAGATCATCTCCATGTTCCAGGCCCACATCCGCGGCTATCTCATGAGGAAGTCCTACAAGAAACTGCAGGACCAGAGGTCAGTCCTTGTCTGCCAGACATCATTTCCTATGTTCTAATGCCTCAGTTGTTCCTGTTTTTAATACTGTAGGTGCTGCTGCAGCAACAGACTTCAGTTCTGAAGAAGTGAACTGCTGCTGAGAGCAACAGACTTCAGTTCTGAAGAAGTGAACTGCTGCTTACAGCAACAGACTTCAGTTCTGAAGAAGTGAACTGCTGCTGAGAGCAACAGACTTCAGTTCTGAAGAAGTGAACTGCTGCTTACAGCAACAGACTTCAGTTCTGAAGAAGTGAACTGCTGCTGCAAAAACAGACTTCAGTTCTGAAGAAGTGAACTGCTGCTGACAGCAACAGACTTCAGTTCTGAAGAAGTGAACTGCTGCTGACAGCAACAGACTTCAGTTCTGAAGAAGTGAACTGCTGCTGACAGCAACAGACTTCAGTTCTGAAGAAGTGAACTGCTGCTGACAGCAACAGACTTCAGGTCTGAAGAAGTGAACTGCTGCCGCAGCAACAGACTTCAGTTCTGAAGAAGTGAACTGCTGCTGACAGCAACAGCAGCATCAGTGATACTGCCACCACAACAACACCAGCACCTACTAGTACGACAGTTATGATAACTACTTATATCAGTACAACTATACCACTCCTCGTCCTCCTCCACCTCCTGCTCCCCTCCTCCTACTACAACAGAAACAACAACCCCTACTCCTACTAACACAACCACTACTTCTTTTTTTTCTACTGTCCCTCCTCCTCCTACTGCTCATCCTTCTACTAGTATTATTACCACCACTACCGTTGCTTCTGCGGATTTTTCTTTTTCTATTGCTGTCTTCTACCACCACCACCACCACCACTACTATTCTATTACTACTGCAACAGCAGCAGCAACAGCACTGCACAGATACAACTGAACGTTTCGACTGGAGTCTTTATCAACAAACCAGGCTGACAACACTGAAAATATTCAGATTTCATATGAGCATTATGCGTGTTTCATGTGTGTTTCGTGCGTGTTTCTTGTGTGTTTCGTTCGTGTTTTATATGTGTTGCACATATTTTTCATGTGTGTTTCGTGTATCTTTAATGCGTGTTTCATATTTGTTTAAAGTATCTTTATGCTTGTCCCATATGTGTTTTGTGTGTGTTTCATGCGTGTCTCATATGTGTTTTATGCTAGTCCCATATGTGTTTTATGTGTGTTTCATGCGTGTCTCATGCGTGTTTCATGTATGTTTACAGAGTCGGGTTGAGTGTCATTCAGAGGAACATCCGCAAGTGGCTGGGTCTGAAGAACTGGCTGTGGTGGAGACTGTATGTCAAGGTCAAGCCCCTTCTGAACGTGGCCCGCGCCGAAGACGATATGAAGATGAAGGAGGAAGAGTTGGCCAAGACAAAGGCAGAGCTGGAGAAGACTGAGAAGCTGCGCAAGGAGCTGGAGGAGCAGAACGTCGGACTTCTGCAGGTATGGCAGTGGAGAAATGTGTTTCCGCCACAATGATTTAGGCTTCTGATGATTTGATTTTGCAAATTTCTTGTGGCTCAGGCATGGAACCGGCGCAGTTTTAGGTTAATAATTTACAACAACACAAACATCATAAAAAATATTACAGAAACAAAAATCACCGCACCAGATAAAAACTACAAGTACCACTACCACCACCACAAAAACAAACTAACGCTGTTTTCAAACAACACCACAAACATTAAACTATGTCTACCATCACCACTCACATGATCACACCAACCACAGCCACAACACTACTGTTGCTGCTGCTGCAGCTCGTGCTGCTATTACTACTGTTGCTACTACTACTACTACTACTACTACTGCTGCTACTACTACTACTGCTGCTGCAACTACTAATTCTGCTGCTAATGTTGCTACTACTGCTGCTGCTGCTACTACTACTGCTGCTGTTGCTACTGCCAATACCAGTGCTGCTGCTACTGCTCATCCACAACAATAACAACAACAACTACTACAATTACTACCTTCACTCCTAATGACACCACTGCCATAATCACTACTAAAATCTTTGGTCATGTGATGAGAAGAAGAAAACTGGAGTTCATCGTGACAGTAGGAAAGATGGAGGGTATGAGATGCAGAGGGAGACCAGAGAAAAATGCTGGCCAATTTGACATCATGGCATGGATGATCATCTGTGTCAGAGTTGATTGAAAGTACATGAGACGGAAGGTTGTGGATACACATGACTACCAACGTCACACGGCATGGAGTAGAGAAATAATAATAAATATTATTTAAAAAAAAAAAAAAAAACACTGATTACAATATATTGTGCTTGTGGACAGCATCACTGTACTAACCTGTTCTCCCTTACTGTCCTCTGCTAGGCCAAGAACGACTTGTACATCCAGCTGCAGGCCGAGCAGGACAATCTCATCGACGCCGAGGAGAAGATCGAGAAGCTCATCTCCCAGAAGGTTGAGTACGAGCAACAGCTCAAGGAGCTGGAGGAGAGACTGCTGGATGAGGAGGATGCTGCCGCAGAGCTGGAGGAGAAGAGGAAGAAGATAGAGGCTGAGAACAAGGCTCTGAAAGATGATATTGCTGATTTGGAGACCTCCTTGGCCAAGGTCAGTACTGTGGATGTCGGTTAGCATGGCTATCTGTTTGTCTATTCTATCTGCCTTTTGTCTGTCTTGCCTGTCTGTCTACCTCTCTGTAGTATCTGCCTTTCTGTCTGCCTGCCTTCCTGTCTAGTCTGTCTGCTTACCTGACTGCCTTTTTGTCTGCCTACCTGCCTGCCTGTCTGTCTAGTCGGTCTGCCTACCTGACTGCCTTTCTGTCTAATATGCCTGCCTGTTTGTTAGCTAGTCAGTCAGACTGGTTACATAATTCGTCACTAATCCTTGCACAGAAAAGAAAAATGTAATTCAGTGTTTAACAGTAGCAATATTGTTGAATGTTTTACGTTTAGTTTATCATGTACTGTTTTACATTTATTATATCATATAATGTTTTACATTTTAATCTACTGTTAGGGTATATCTCATTACTTGATTCATCTGTTACTTGTCTTTAAAGAAGTGATTCATCATTAGTTTACACCCTTGTTTTGTGTTTATTTTTAATTACCATATTTTAGAATATTGATTTTATTTTATTCTTAAATAACTACAATTACTGCCTGTCTGAAATTCTCAGAGAGGAGTTAGTTTTAGTTTTCTATCTTCTGTCCTATTACTTAGGTTGTAAAGGTTCGCATTGAGAACTTAGATGTAGTTTCCTCCCCTTTGTCTTTTTGTTTAGATAGTAAAGCTTAGCAGAGAGAACTTACAAGTAGTTTCCTCCACTTTGTCCTTTTGTTTAGGTAGTAAAGCTTCGCAGAGAGAACCTACAAGTAGTTTCCTGCCCTTTGTCCTTTAGTTTAGATATTAAAGCTTAGCAGAGAGAACTTACAAGTAGTTTCCTCCATTTTGTTCTTTTGTTTAGGTAGTAAAGCTTCGCAGAGAGAACCTACAAGTAGTTTCCTGCCCTTTGTCCTTTTGTTTAGATAGTAAAGCTTCACAGAGAGAACCTACAAGTAGTTTCCTGCCCTTTGTCCTTTTGTTTAGATAGTAAAGCTTCACAGAGAGAACCTACAAGTAGTTTCCTGCCCTTTGTCCTTTAGTTTAGATATTAAAGCTTAGCAGAGAGAACTTACAAGTAGTTTCCTCCCCTTTGTCCTTTTGTTTGGATAGTAAAGCTTCACAGAGAGAACCTACAAGTAGTTTCCTGCCCTTTGTCCTTTTGTTTAGGTAGTAACGCTTAGCAGAGAGAACCTACAAGTAGTTTCCTGCCCTTTGTCCTTTAGTTTAGATATTAAAGCTTAGCAGAGAGAACTTACAAGTAGTTTCCTCCATTTTGTTCTTTTGTTTAGGTAGTAAAGCTTCGCAGAGAGAACCTACAAGTAGTTTCCTGCCCTTTGTCCTTTAGTTTAGGTAGTAACGCTTAGCAGAGAGAACTTACAAGTAGTTTCCTGCCCTTTGTCCTTTTGTTTAGATAGCAAAGCTTAGCAGAAAGAACTTACAAGTAGTTTCCTCCATTTTGTTCTTCTGTTTAGATAGTAAAGCTTAGCAGAGAGAACTTACAAGTAGTTTCCTGCCCTTTGTCCTTTTGTTTAGATAGTAAAGCTTAGCAGAGAGAACCTACAAGTAGTTTCCTGCCCTTTGTCCTTTTGTTTAGATAGTAAAGCTTAGCAGAGAGAACCTACAAGTAGTTTCCTGCCCTTTGTCCTTTTGTTTAGGTAGTAAAGCTTAGCAGAGAGAACTTGTGTTAATATCATGCTGCATTTCTGTAGAGTCTCTTTTACTCCCTATCCCATCTTTTTCTTGGTCGGCCTCTTGATTGTAGTTGGTGACACTGTCTCTTCTTCTTCTCGTTTTCCCCACCGCATTTTTTATACATCTCACCTCCCATGTTGTAATTTCGTATTTACGTTCTTCTAGGACTGCCCGTGTCGGGCATTGATAAAACAAAGTTAGTAGGTGTAGCACCTTACCCATCACTCCGTCACGATTTGTGTCATACTGTAAGTACTACATGCAGTAAAAACTCTAACCTTTGACCCATTTGCTTCTATAGGCTGAACAAGAGAAACAGGCCAAGGACAACCAGATCAAGGCTCTACAGGATGAGAGAGCAGCACAAGAAGACGCGATCAACAAGCTCGCCAAAGACAAGAAGACACTGGAAGAGCAACAGAAGAAAACGCTGGCTGACCTGCAGGCCGAGGAGGACAAGGTTAACCACTTGAACAAACTGAAGACCAAACTGGAACAGACCCTGGATGAGGTGAGGACACAGTTATCTATATCCTGTTCATGTCATTGTTGACACATAACTGATCTCCACTGTTGCTATTTGATGTCTGCTGAAGATGAGGTTGGGGCAGTTATGGGTACATCCTGAGTGCTGGGATGTTCTTAGTTCAGCACTTACCGTGGGGTGTTGATGTTTCCTAGAGAGATCGCCAGACTTCTCTATCAGCAATTTTCTTTCTGGCTTTGTTCCATTCCAGTCCTGTGATAGTTAGGGACTGTCGGGTGTTGTTTTCCTAACAAATCCTGGGTCTTTCTGGTGGTCTGGTGCACTGGTTCTTATCCTCCCACGGTAGCCGATTCTTTCCCATTCTACATACATTGCCAAACTATCCTAACTCTGACTGATCCACTCGAGTTTGTAAGACTATTGTCTGACTGCCAGCGTTGCCCCTTTTTGTCATTTGGGCTACTTTTCTCAGATATCATTTCTGAAGCTTGAAGCTAGCTCATGTGAGCTGTAGCTCAACATTCTGTTGTTGTTAATTGGCTGTTTTTTTCCATCTATGGTATTCTATGTCGTTTTATTACATTCCCTAATTTCCTTTCCTTCTGTCCTTCTCCAGGGTTCATTGGGATCATCCAAATCTCCTTTTGCAATTTGCTATCCACTGGAAAGCTGCTACGATGCATTCTTTAAATATATCTAAGCCAGCTCAATCTTCTTCCTTTGAAGAACATTCGTTTTCCTCATCATTTTTTTCTTTATCTTGTTTGGCCAAAATATTTGCAAAGTTATCCTTACTCATTATTTAAAATAAGTCTTTAGATTACTTTCCGCTCTAATCCCCGCTTGATATTGACCACATTACCACCGAGTGCTCACTGGTCTATACAGTATAGTTCTAGCTGCTCTAGTTTAAAGCTAGTGAATGCTAAGAAGAAGAAGATGTGTAATGAAGAGGACAAAAGTAGCACTAGATAAAATGATGTTTTACTTCTCATGCGTTTTGTGTTGTTGCTAGCATATCATTTAGCTCAAAGGCACACACACATCAGAGTATCGACATCCTGGAGGTTAATGTCTTGTAATGTTCTACTTTCATGCTGGCTGGTATCAGATGAAAAGCAGAAGTAGTAGGACAACAAGAAGAAGAATACACAGAAGAGGAATGTTTGGTTAGTAGTAGTGTAGTAGTAGTAGATGAAAGCAGAATAGTAGTACCAAGAAAGAAGAGACACAAATAGAGACTGGTAGTATGTATTAGAAAAGAAGAAGAAGAAGAAGAACATAAACAAGAACAAACAACAAGAAAATATAGTTGTAGAATACAAATAATGGTAAGAAGAATAAAAAGAAGCATAAGAGAAATACAGAGCAAGAAAAGAAAAAAGAAGAACAAGACGAAGAAGAAGGAGCGAAGCTGCATTTACTTTTTCTTCTCCATATATATTTCTTTGTATGTCTCTTGTCTGGAAACGTTTGTTGTCCGTATGCCTGTGTTGCCTGTATAACATCTTTTCTGTGAGCCTGTCTTGTCTGCTTACGTATCTTATCTTTATACGTGTTCGAATGTTCCCAGTAACTAATCAATCATTTACCACCACACAGCTGGAAGACAACCTGGAGCGAGAGAAGAAGATTCGCGGCGATGTGGAGAAAGCCAAACGTAAACTGGAACAGGACCTGAAGAGCACACAAGAAACCGTCGAGGATCTGGAGAGATCTAAGCGAGAGCTGGAGGAGACTCTTAGAAAGTGAGTGTCACAAGTTAAATAGCACTTTATATTAGAGCTGTGGTCTCGAACGTTTTTCAGGTGGCAAGACCCTCTTCTCTCCCCCCCCCCTCTCCCGCCCGCTACACCACAAGCTTGAATGGGTAGCATGTAAAGTCCTGGGAAGTAAAGGCGGCCGGTGTGACTTTGACTACATCACCTACAGAATGGCAGTTGGGCTAGAAAATATAGGTCTAACCCTGTATGCACAATAGGTCTGAAGGTGTGGGAAAGAGTTCTTTTACTTGAAACTTTAAGACAGTTATACTTATGCTGCGCTCGACGACCTCACTAAGTGGCGTACCCTGTGGGCCTGTGCTGCAAAGGATGGTGTGCGTGCGTGTGTGTAGTAGGTAGGTAAGTTATATCCCACCAGGACACCACACAAGCGATAAACACCCGATGACACAAAGTGCCACCCTGTGGATAAAGATCACCCGTGGAGAGGTCCTAGAAACCGCATTCAGCCATTAGGCTATACTTATGGCCTGGGCTATATTGCGGCCTCTGACAAGAGCCAAGGTGGGGCTTTAAATAACGAAAAATTATATCTCAGAAGGAGATGACTAGGTTAAGTGACTGTGTGTTTGTGTGTGATAAATCACTCACCGTTTGCGTATAAAGAATAATGTAATGTTTTAATGATGTTTATTTACAAAGCCATGTGTGTAATAAAACACTTTACAATTTCCAATCATCAGGAAAGATCTCGAAATCAACGGCCTGAACACGAAACTTGAAGACGACCAGAATCTCATTGCCCAACTCCAGAGGAAGATCAAAGAACAACAGGTAAATTACGTTCGTCTAGTAAAGTTTTTATTGTGCCCCTTGTAATTCTTCTGATCTTAGTTCCCCCCCCCCCTCTCCCACCCCAGTCTTTTTCTTCTTACATGTGACCGTTATCCTCCAATGGAGCATAGAATCTCAACCAACTCAGGCGAAGTTCTATATTTTGTTATCCCATGCCCTCCTCTCACTATTTAGTTCCCTTCTGCCATTATTTCTATGCATTATGAATTTGTGGGTTTCAGTGCAAAGACATCCTAGTTATATTGTTCTCAGGGTTTCTTAGCGTATGCTGTTTCTTCCATTGTGGTGACAGAAATTATATTTTTTTTTTTGTTATGTCCCTTAAGTGATTTGTACAACCTCTATCCATGTGTTGTACAACCTCTATCCATGTGTTGTACAACCTCTATCCATGTGTTGTACAACCTCTATCCATGTGTTGTACAACCTCTATCCATGTGTTGTACAACCTCTATCCATATGTTGTACAACCTCTATTCATGAGTTGTACAACCTCTATCCATGTGAACTACTTGACCATCAGCTGTTGTTATTCATTTTTTTTTTGGTTACGCTCAGACAAACCTGGTATTGTGAATCCAGAAGTGACACGTTGTTCATCGCCGTGGGGATACGAATGTTGCCGAGCTTTTACTTCCGTGTCTACAGAAACCATCGCCGTTTCGTAACAGTGCAGTCAAATATAATTAGCCCTATGTTTTCAGATAGCAGTCTTCTTGGATACACTTTTAATATTGTATCTTGAATTTGCGCACCATTTTTAGGGATTTCCCTATCATAACGACCGAACCACATTAAAATAGTCAGTATCAACTCACTACACTGTATACCTGATTATCAAATGAAATACATGTATAATAATTGTTTAGAACACAATCACAGGTACAGTGAAATGCACACATCAACTGAATGAAAACTAACACCTACAACCCCCCCCCCTCCCTCCCTCTCCCAACCCACCCTACTTCCTCTGTATAACATCACTTGCTGAAGTCCACCTTGTTTCATTTATATAAAATATGGACTGTGCGTAAACTGTTGACCTAATCGTTAAACATGATTGGTTGTTGTTATACGAAGCGCTATGTAAGTAGATTTACATACATTAGCATGTTTGGGTTGTAAAAGGGCGGGATTAACCTCTTGTATTGGGGATGATTGACAATAAAAAAAAGTGAACAAAGAAGACACAAACAATAAATGCACAATTGATTGCATCGCACATTTCGCTGTATTTCGCCAGGTGCATTCTACAGTAACAGTTGACTAACATAAAGCAAATAAATAAATGCTTTATAAATAAAGTACAAATTCAATCACTTTCAAAAGCAACTGCCTGTTGTACTAGAAGAAGCGCAGTTGACTAACATAAAGCAAATAAATAAATGCTTTATAAATAAAGTACAAATTCAATCACTTTCAAAAGCAACTGCCTGTTGTACTAGAAGAAGCGCAGTTGACTAACATAAAGCAAACAAATAAATGCTTTATAAATAAAGTACAAATTCAATCACTTTCAAAAGCAACTGCCTGTTGTACTAGAAGAAGCGCAGTTGACTAACATAAAGCAAATAAAATAAATGCTTATATAAATAAAGTACAAATTCAATCACTTTCAAAAGCAACTGCCTGTTGTACTAGAAGAAGCGCAGTTGACTAACATAAAGCAAATAAATAAATGCTTTATAAATAAAGTACAAATTCAATCACTTTCCAAAGCAACTGCCTGTTGTACTAGAAGAAAGCGCAGTTGACTAACATAAAGCAAATAAATAAATGCCTTTATAAATAAAAGTTACAAATTCAATCACTTTCAAAAGCAACTGCCTGTTGTACTAGAAGAAGCGCAGTTGACTAACATAAAGCAAACAAATAAATGCTTTATAAATAAAGTACAAATTCAATCACTTTCAAAAGCAACTGCCTGTTGTACTAGAAGAAGCGCAGTTGACTAACATAAAGCAAATAAATAAATGCTTTATAAATAAAGTACAAATTCAATCACTTTCAAAAGCAACTGCCTGTTGTACTAGAAGAAGCGCAGTTGACTAACATAAAGCAAATAAATAAATGCTTTTAAAATAAAGTACAAATTCAATCACTTTCAAAGCAACTGCCTGTTGTACTAGAAGAAGCGCAGTTGACTAACATAAAGCAACACAATAAATGCTTTATAAATAAAGTACAAAATTCAATCACTTTCAAAAGCAACTGCCTGTTGTCCTAGAAGAAGCGCAGTTGACTAACATAAAGCAAACAAATAAATGCTTTATAAATAAAGTACAAATTCAATCACTTTCAAAAGCAACTGCCTGTTGTACTAGAAGAAGCGCAGTTGACTAAAGGAAACAGTGGAAATAGAGGGTAGAAAAGTGGGTGGGGAGGGAAGGGGGGTCAGAACGCATCCTCACCCTTTTCGGATGTTATCGCGTGTTGGGGTTCAAGTGGTAAAAGCCTTGTTTAAATGAATAAAAATATTAATACTAATTAATTATTAGTAATTGCTAAATAATATAACACTATATTTGAAATATTATGAAAATAATTTGTGCGGGGGGGGGGGGGGGGGCTTTTTTTCTTTAACACATTCTTTAGGCGTGGAGTCAGGGCCCCAGCCCCTCCCCCTGCAAAATGAGTTAGGTTTGGACAAGGAGGGGGGTGGGGTGCATAAGCTGTCAATAATTTCCCCCTAAGCTGAATAAGTTAAGGTGACTTCAAACACCACAACGTCTGCCGCATATTCTCAGTTTAACAAATCATACGCAGTCCATATTTTAGAACTCACCATCACCATTTTCACGTGTGACAAATCTTAGCTGAGCACTAGTTGCACATTAGTTTACCTGGCGTGGTCTGTCTCACCTGGTGTGACCACATATTAACTGGGAGCATTGCCAGGTGAGTGTGTTTGCGTACTGTCCAATAAAATCATATTTTGCACACCTGTGTTTCTGAGTGTTGCCTTAGTTTTTATTTTGCATGCTAATTTCATTATGTATTTTTGCACATTTTTGAGTTATCATTTTCCCCATTACCAATTTCTATTTACCATTTTTCCTTCAACAGTTTCCCTTACCAGTTTCACACTATCAGTTTCTTAATACCTATTTTCCCATTACCATATTCTCATTACCTGTTTGCACATACTGATTTCACGTGACCAATTTCACCATTACAAAATGCCCATTACCAACTTGTGATTACCAATTTCCCTATTACCAAATGCCTATTACCAGCTTGTGACTATCAATTTCCCCATTACCTAATTTAATTACCAATTTCCCCATTACCAAATGCCCATTACCAACTTGTTATTACCAATCTCCCCATTACCAAATGCCCATTACCAACTTGTTATTACCAATCTCCCCATTACCAAATTGTAAATACCAATTTCCCCATTACCAAATGCCCATTACCAAACTTCTCATTACCAAACTACCACACCAATCTTCCATTAACAAATAAACAATTTTTTATTAACGATGTATACAACAAATCTTTTGATGGATCGAGCATGGCAAAGACATCCTCAGGTATTGGTTAGCACTCATATAAGTGAAGAAAACAAAAAGAAATGATAGGTACAGTAGAGAATATGAAGATTGCATTGTAAGAAAACAGGGGGTGGTTTTTTGTATCGCTCTTAGAAGGGAGGCTGACACAATGTGTTGTGGTTTACAGCTAGGCTGCAATATCTGCGCCTTTCAGCAAGCCCTGATTAGTCGCATTGGAATCATCATCATCTTTCGCGCACCGTTAGACGTCACGTAAGGCTCACATCCGATTCCTGCACTCCGCACTGTTACATGCAACTTACTCAATTTCTGACATGGAGTTCACCCAGAGTTTTAAGCTTCTCCTAGTAATGTTATTTTTTAACGTTTTTCTTAAAGGTGCTCTTTTTCTCAGACCGTTTGTTTCTCATTTTAGTGCCTGTTTTGTAATTCTTTGCCCATTTCATGTCATAGTAAGCACAGTACATCTGCACCTCCTTTGTCTTACTTAAATCCAGATACTTGTTGGGAAAAAAAGGATGGGGGGGGGGGGGGGGGTGGGGCTTGTGTGTGTATTTTTGTTTTTCCGCCAATGTGGGACGTCGGAACACACGGTTCAACCCTCGCTGCCTCATTTGCGAAATAATTTCTCATGCTCTTTCAGCTGCTTCACGAGTTTTACCAGATTTGTTCTTACCTGCATATCAAGTATAACGGGCCTTGAACATTTTACACGCCCTAATGTTTTACGTCACAATAGTTGCAACAGTCTCAACCGATTTTATCCCATAGGTCGCCCAGACAGCGTCACTATGCCACCCCCCCCCCCCCCCCTACTTACACTCTTTCCCCCTAGAGCTTTAGACTCGAATAGATGCTTTATGCATAACAAGAACATGTCTTCAACCACTCGCGTCGAAACGTCATATTCTTCGCTAGTTTATTCGCCTTTCTTTTATTCACTGCAGTCGCACATTTTTTTATCCGTGAATTTTTAAAAGTACCATGTTGGTTCCAGTGCAGCGACACACTCATATACAATCATACGTACAAATATACATACATATTACATCTGTATGTACATACACAAATACATAATCGGTGAATAATTTGTGAAGGTGTATCGATGGAAGAACTAACATAAAAAATACCCATAATCTTTCTTTGTCTTCCCCTTGTTAAACAAGTGTATGATAACTTAGTCCTGTCTATTTCTTGATGTTGTCATTCAAGGGTCTTCCCTGCCCACCTCCCTCCCCATTTCCACTCTTCAACTACATTCTTTAAAGTACAGTTGTTTGCAATCGAATCCCGTCTTACCAGGGGCCAGAACCACCCTAGTCTGCCATGTTTTATCACTGCCAGAAGCGGTTACCGATGTCCTGCAAATCTGTTGATTTTGTCTCTAAACACACGTGCTAGCTTTATATTCTAAATAGCGAATTCATAAAATTCTTCTGTAGAATTTATGTTGGAAAGCCT